AAAACCAGGAGGGCTTTTCCAGTGGATGTCGTTTTGCCGCGGCCGTCCCGAGTTTTATATGGTAGGAAGAGCAAAGTAGTGGCGAGCATATTCAGTGGGAAGAATTGGATACTCTCGAAAAGCCATAGCAGGTTAGTGACGTGGAATGGTATGAACACGCCCAGACACACATACGTGGCCACGCTCTTCCCTAATGTGACGGCTGTGAGGAGAAGAGGGCCGCCAATCAGGTCCAGGAGGAGGCCACCCCAGGCGAGCAGCTCCGCGAGCTGAAGCAGCGTCATGTGCCGCGGTACCAGCATGTGGACTAGTGGGAAATCCCAATTGTGCAACATTGTCTCTGTGATGTAGCCGCTGAGCCAGGCTTCTGATATCTTGCTCATGCCCGCCATGAAGTAGGTCCAGCATATGAGGAAGCGAAAAGCGAAGTAGAACCAGGACGGCACCGTGTGGACCAGAAACCTTCTGAGTTCCTTATCGTGATCAGAAGAGCTCAACAGCGACTCGGGCTCGCCACTCAAGCCATGGCTAGCATCAAAACCGGTCTGCTCTTCAGAGGTCATCAACAGGGACTCGGCCGTATCCATCATCTCTGGTCCTCGCCGGCTCAGCTCAGTGACACGGCTCACGTCATCATTCAGGCCACGAGGCGAGTACTCGAAGTCGGTGATAGTGAACAAGGAGAGCTCGAGGATGTTAAGATAGTAGTGGTTGTTCCAGTTGGTGAAGTCGGATATTCTAAGATAGGCATACACGATGAGAAGGGGTGCACTAGTCCAGCAGGAAGGCTCCAATGCGACGAAACAGACACTCATAAAGCAACCTAACATAGGCGTGGCTCACTTCCAACAAGCCGAGGCCGTTCCCAGCCGACTGACCCACCTACGACTAGGGCAAGATCCAGACTCAATGGGGTTAAGGGAACGTCGAAAGGGAGCTCTGCAGGGGCCACCGGGCTGAAACCTGAGAAAGAACAAGTCGTGCCTGAAATATGCTACGGCATCTACCTTGTGACATGATCTCAGCGGCGTGATCAGAGAACCATAGAATCTCTAATACGATGACAAAACCAAAGCACCTCCGATACAGCATGAACGGCCCGGCGTCGGCCCGACCGGTCAGCCAGGACAGACCAGAAGGCATCAGCGAAATGAACGAATAAAGTCCGTGCAATTTTGACTCGGCACAACACACCAGAAGACTTCGGAAATCGACTTATTGATTTGCATGCTCAGCAGGCCAGAGGTGGGACTCAGCGAGGTCGACATCATCCTCTTCCTGGCTTGGCTGAGTAGTCGCCTGGTTTTCCTTCGACTCCTCAGCGATGGTACTCGGCCCTGCACAGAAGGACACATACAACGTGGCGGTCCAATGTAGCAAACCTGCAGCAGCATCAACATGTTGCCGAGTTTTCCTGTCTCTGACTCGGCGATGTCTACGAGCTGACTCCACCGTAGTGTGTCGGAATAAGCTGGCCGGCGCTGGCATGTCCACGAAAGCATTATAGCCACTGAATAGGAAGCTGCACATCACTACGATCGAATACGACCACTCACTTGGTGCTGCTACTGCCGCTGACTGGTAGAGCAGGGATACTAGCCAGAGCAAGAGCCGTGCCGCCGCCACCACCAAAAGTAGCATGCAGTAGGCGCCTCTCCAGACTGAACCAAAGGGCTCAATCGTCAAAGTCGCTACAGGACTATACTCAGCTATCCGTTGCTCGTATGAGACCTTCGACTCAGATGCCCGTTTTTCAATGTGGCCTTGTAACCGGACCAGCTCCTTCAGCTTGCCGTTCGTGGTCGACACTTTAGTATCTGATCGACAATCCGACAACATCAGTTTGGCCCGAAGCTTACGGGCCTCCTTAACCTTCTGTTTGTTCTTAGCCTTAACTTTCTTAGCATACGATCGGGTACGTCGGAGTTCCTCAGCAACTGCCTGTGAATGCCGCGACATCTCCTACGGCATGATAGATCAATGACTGCTCCAATTCACCCAAGCCCACGAGCAATTCAAGCCTGGTTTCCTGCGCCTCTCTCGCCCACTGCTCTGCATCCTGAGCCGCCTTATGCCTCTCGTATTCATCTACACCACAGAGCTGCACTCAGCATGCCACAGCACCAACCTACGTGCTCTGTTGACATCTTTGAGCTCAGCCTTCAGAGCCGAGATGGACATCTCTTTCTCCTCCAACTTCTCCACAGTATTAGTAAGCTTACCACACAGCATGAAGACAGAAACAGCGAAGCTTGGGCTACATGAGCGAGAGTCTCCCTATGCTTCGACTGTAGCATAGTGTAGTCCCTGGCCATCTGCTCGAACTCAGCAGCCTTGTCTTCCGCAGCTCTCATCTGAGCTCTCGCTTGCTCCAATGAGCTAGCGACTATGACCGCCTGAGAAGACCATGCCCAGGCCAAAACACCCAGTGTTGGACTATCTGTTCACTTCCCTCAGGACTTTTGTCATTTATTGTAGGAATTCATATACGAATTCTGGTAGAAGTGTATAGAAACCGACAAAGGTTTCCTAGAATTTTTATATTGTCACCATGTAGTTGACCCTGTGCATATTTTCCCCCACGGAACGCACCTTATCCTCCTTTTCGGCCAAGGCCCGCTGATTTCTATCCTCTACTGACCTCAGCGCCGCCTCGAGCTGAGATCGCCACAGTTTCTGTATCTCCCTCAGATGTGTCGCCTCACCTCGCTGATGGTCTGTTTAGCCTCCGCACATGCTGTATTCATACCAGCCAGCCGTCTGTGCAGTTCACAGACCTCCGCCTCGTGGGCCATGGTCACTCGCGCCTTATCAAAAAGACAACTCCAGCTTTGACTGCGGCATTTCCCTCCCACCGTCTCCTCATCGAACTTTCTCTGGATCTCCGAAACGCGTCGCTCCGCCTCATTCACTTGCTCTGCTGCTCTATTGACTTGTTCACAGCATTCCCGACACTTCCGATCGAGCTCCTTCTCCAAGCGACCCACGCATCCCTCTTGAGCGGCTAGTTGAGATCGGAGATCGGCCTATTGAAAGCTGATGAAGTGGCAGAATTTCGGTATCAACTTAGACATTCTAATTCACTGTGTGGCCTTGGGCGATATGAACAACGAATCTCATGATTGTGTGGCCTCACCCTCTGGGCGGGCCCTAACCCTTGCTCTAGGTAAGCAGTTCGGTCCTGGTTTCTCTTACCATCTCTTTTTCACTTTCTTTCCTCAACGCCTTCTTCTCCTCCTCGTGAGCCCTCTTCATAGCTGTCACACTAGTCTCCAATCGTTCCTACGATAACACTAGCAGCCGTGGCTCCAATGAGGCATACAATTTCCCTTCCCCTTCTCGCGCTCTCCTCAGTGAGAGAAGCATGAGCCCGATCCGTCTTGGCCTTCTCAGCCAATGCATCTCGCGCTTCCTTCCCTCTCTGGAGAATCTCCGCCCTCTGTACCTACCACAACACCAGTAGTAGTCTACTTAGTAGCTGTTGGCCTTGTCCTTACTACTAATAGAAATAAAGGCGACAGTCGACGCTTACCTCAATCCTAGCTTGCAAGGTCGCTACCGTCTCCTCGTGCTGCTCCTTCAGTGAGGCCACCAGAGCACTTCCCTCCTGCTCCACCCAGTACGTAAGGGAACCAACCATCATTCGCCTACCTTCATTTTAGCCCCCATTTCAAAAACCTGCGCTTTCAGCTTCGGGATCGCACTGACCTGCTCTGCATACCGTCGCATCTCCAACTCTGCCTCCCTGAGCTTTCGCTGTAGCTGCATGAGAAAAGCCAATAATAGACTGCCACGGTTCTCCCCCACCGTCTCTTCCTCTCCCTTAACCTCCTCTCTCGCTTTCTTCAGTGCAGCATCGGCCTGCTCACCACAGATGGGCTGTCTCAACCCAGCAGCTACAGCCCACATCTTGTCGCTCCATAGCATTGCGTATCTTCTCCTGGTCGAGTTCTCGTTGCAACTCCGCGCACTTCTGCCTGCTGCTGGCCAGCCTTGACTCAATCGCCGCCATCTTGCGATTGTATCTGTCATCGAAAATACGCTACCTTCGAAGTTCCTCCAAGCCCCACTCGATCTCGAGCTCCCCCGCTATCTTCAACTTCTCTGCCTCAATGTCTTCCTGTGTGGTGATCATTCTATGTAGTCGCCGCATCTGACAGGCGGAGCGAAGCAACTTCAATAATGGCGAATAACCGCAACCCACTTCGTCAGCCTGAGTTTCCAACTGAACCTTCCACTGCGCCCTCGAGCTCTTCTGCTCCTGGAACGCCCTCTCAAGTTCTCCCTGTGTTTGGCCCAGCAGCTCCTCGACCTCCGACACCCTCCCTTGCAGGGCCGAGTTCTCCGTCACCACACTGTCGTTGTAGACTCTCAACTTCTCGAGCCTGCACGTCAGTAAGCAACGATTCGATCGCACATTGCAATTTCACTTCTCTTTAAAAAGCTGAACGGTCTCCTCCGCCTCTGTCAACTGCCTTTGTCTCATCTCTAACTGGCCCAGCAAGTGAGCGTAAGCGTCATCATCGTCATCACCACCTTGTTCCCTATCTAGAGGCATCGACAGAGTAAAGGCTCGTATGCTACTAGGAACGACCCACATTCCTGTCTCTGGCCGTCGAATTAACAACAAAAATCAAAGTAAGTAGAAACTGCGCACTCGGCGTTTCTCCACAACTCAACGCCATCACTTCACGGTGCTGTTGCCGACTTCTTGCTCTCTACAACAGACCAGTTCAGCGTTGGGAAGTCGCTAGGCTGCTCACCTTTAGCTGCAGAGATCTTCTCTGCCTTCGCCTCGGCCTTAGCCTCCGCCTCTGCCTCTCGTGCCTTATTAGCGATCTTGTTATTAATGAGGTTGTGCAGGGCGACCGTGGCACGCAGTATCGACCCTGGGGCCCATCAAGTTTCAATACTCATTTACCCTCGACCTACCCAAGTAAATGCACAGCATACTGTCGTTGGTCTCCACATTGAAGGAACGCATGAGCTCAACGTCCTCCTGGCTGTCACCAGGCAAGTAGTTGAATATGTTCTGACCAACGCCGAATACCCTGAGCATGGCAGCAGCGGTTGTCTCACCTGGAGATTGTAGATGATCTGTGCATTAGGAGGCAGCTTGCCGTCGATAACCTGCCCTAAGTACTGTGCAATCTCATTGATCTTCACCACAAGGGTTCTGAAAGGAGGCATTTCATCAACCACAGGAGTCGAGTCGAGAGGCGGTAGCAGTGGGGGGGAATATGCATATGGTCAACTACATGTCCTGCTGACCGTAAGGAAATTCCGATAAAATTGGAAAATACCCAAATTTCAATAACTAGCGAGGAAGCTCCTTAGCTCAGTGGAGGTAAGCAGACATATATTCCTCCAACACTGAGCGAAAGCGGCCGAAATCATAGCAAACGAGCTGCCCGAGACTTACTTCAAGGCATTCATCTTAGACTCCACTCGAGTGGCCAGAGTACTCGTGCTCTGCGTCCTGTCACAACACGCCATAAAGGGGCGGCCTTGTCTCGCTCACGAGCAACCCACCTGATGTCTCGCAGCAGATGCTCTACACCAACCTCCTCGGCTTCAAAGGCTCCAACAACAGAAGGCAAGTGAACGAAGGTTCTACGAGTGAGAGGATCCGCAGAGGCCTAAAAACAACGACGAGTTGAAGATCAATTCTGCTGTTGTCATAGCTGTTATCACGCAGGGCATCTCAGCGAAAGATATCGAATATTTTCTATACCATCCGAATGACCAGCAAGATTGAGTTACCTCTTCAGCCGAGTAGTAGGCCTGCATGGGGAAGTCTCTGGGATCGAGATCCCCCTTCTTGGCGGCACTGCTACTATTGCCTCCAGTGACGTCCATAATGAGGAACACAGGCTCCGGACAATACCTTGTAATGAGGAATACCAACACATTCTCAACAACATCCAGATGGAGACGACAGGCTACCGTCGGAAGATCTCATTGATTGCGAGATCGCTAGGTTTAATCCTGGGCCCGCTAGAGTACCACCCCACGACCACTTCCTTCTGCGAGACCTGCAATAGAAACACATAAGAACAAATGCTCTCTCTACCTGCTGCTCCCATCGAAACCCATACGATGAGTCATCAATCCCACCAACAGCATGCAAGAGCCGCGCCTACCTTTTTGAACATGGCATACATCTTTTCATGATAGTTATGGTCAACAAACCACACCTGAGGGTCTCTTAGGTCTTCCTCGAAGGGCAAGGCGAAGCTGTTGGTAACATGCAGTTTACCATCCTGAAAAGAGACACTACACAACTCTTCGCCTCGGAAAGGGTCTACCAGCATCTGGCCCAACAGCGTGCCCACAACACGTCTAGCTGTGCCCTTAGCCGCCCTGTTGTAATGATCGACAATAGAGAGGAGCACCTG